ATATATAATTATATATATATGGGTGTGTGTATCATACGGAAATATGCAGTCTCTAAGATGGAACCGTAAGCCTTCAATATTGAAATTACCAGGCACATTCCTCCAAACCGTAAGTTGGCATTTTTTCCACTAAGTTGAGCTAGCACACGCAAATGCGTGCCTTGTTGTTTCCACAATTCTGTCAGCAAATTTTTCATTTCTATAGGTTAGGACTGCCGGTGGAGACAGGAATTAAATCGTGTTGGGTCCCATTTTTTCACGTGTTTCTTAAAGACTCAGACTTCCCAAGTCTCTAGGATGAAGGCTTTCCAATTTTTTTTGTGGCAAAGCCAATGGTAAACCATCCCAGCAACCAACCAGAAGGGGGTCAGAATAGACATCATCCCATGTCTAGGCGCATACGGCATACCCAGTTTCAAAAACCTCAGATACCCTCTGGTAATTTAACATAGCTATTGAAAATGGCCATTTATAGTGGACTTTCCCATTAAAAATGGTGATTTTCTATAGTTACGTTAGTTTACCAGAGGGTATCCCATATTTATCCAGTATTATCACACCATAATTATCCAAAGTTGTCGCACGAATTTATCCCATATAAAAAAATCCCATTAATACCCTAGCTTTTCCAACTATAAAATTATTATCATCATTATTACCCCAATGGTTTCAGTATGGTATAATTGGATATTAACAATTGACCTATTATCCCAATTCATCATTATGATCCTTTTTTTAATGCAATTATGACATATTCCAATCATTATTTGCACCATTGGTATATATATAAATATATATATATAGAATAGTATTATCCAATTAGGACCATGATATTCTAAACATACGGTTTGTTTTTCCATGTTTTTCCATATTATCCCATCCATATACTATGGTTATCCCATGATTATCCAAATATTATCACTATTAGATCATTTTTTAAACCAAGATGGTTTCAGTATATTATCACTATTGCCCACTGATATTAAACCATACAAAACCTATCTTGGTTTATATGGTACATATTATCACTGGTAAACATATCATTCTTACATATTCTTACCCTTTGGTAATTTAACTACATAACTATTGAAAATTGCCATTTATAGTTGATTTACCTATAACAAAATGGTGATTTCCCATAGCAAGCTGTTGGTTTACCAGAGGATCCAGAGGGTATCTATTGATATCATCATCTCCCATTTTATGCCCTGGCTTGGGCCCTAATTGGAGTCAATCATGTATCCCAATACAGTGGATGGTTGCGAAATCCTGCATCAAAAGGATGGTTGAAAACCATCCAAAAACATGGGAATGTTACCATTTCTTCCATCTATCAACTGGTGCACGATTTCGCAACCATCCACAGTATGATCATTATCTGGGTAAATTATAACGACCTCACTGTTCTCCCTCACTATAATCATGGTTAGTTTTTGGGGAAACATCCCCAAGATTCCCAAGATAGCCCAACATTTCAGGTTAGTCAATTGTTATATAAAATGAATATATCCAGTAATACCATCCGTGCCTTACCTAATTTACCAATGGTGAATTGTTATATAATTTACCCAGATCATTATGGTTCAAGTATGTCTAGGTCCTATCCACCAAAGACAGCCAAGGCACGGAGCCTATGTATGGCATCGTGGATGTGTACAACGCCAGGGTCGCAAGGAGAAGAACTTTATATTGGGATAAAGATACGGGAGATTTAATGGGATTTACATCGGATTTATATGGATTTAATGGGATATTGGTATGGGATTTAATGGGATTGATATTTATATGGGGGTTAATGGAGTTTGCTTAATGATCTTAATGGTATTTAACCAGCAAATACGGGAAGTTAACCAAGACATGGATTAATTTGGAAAACTCAGCAACCCAAACCTGGGTTTTCACCAACTAATATTACGCACAGACCCCGTGGTTTGCCCGGACTGCAACATTGAGGATTCCCCGTCTTCGAACATGAGAGGAGAAATTGCAGAAAATACTGTGTATACGGCGCAGTGTTTTCTGCTTTCGGATTCAGAGTTTTTAGGGTTTTAGGGTTTAGGGCTCGTCGTCTGGTAAATACCAAAACACTGGCCCTGCGCAGGTTTTTGGGCATGTCGAAGGATAATATTTGGACTCCATTCTAACCTTGCGGGCAAACATAGGGTCTTGCCGTAATATTATTTAATATGCGGTATAGGTGGAGTATATAACAGTATATATAATCATATATATATATATATAATCAATATGATATGAGTTGCGGGTTGGCCCAAAAATGTCCAAAAATGTCGAATACCCCCAAATGGCAATTTTAGGAAAACTGATGATTCGGCATCAAGTTTCGGGGCGCCCTAGTTTTTAGGCACATCATGGCACATCCATATCGTGGGGAATGTGATAATTGTTGCAAGGCTAACTCATGATGATTTAGTTTACATACGGCATCAGGATTGAAATTTGATGATCCATTTGATGACATTTGATGACATTTGATGACATGTAGATGACATGTAGATGGATTGAGTGATTGAGTTAGCCCACCAGTTCACTTGTCCCCACTATCACTTTATTGGTCCCGGCAATCCTATCGAGCTGATCCTGGGCGGTATTGGGTCAGCTCCTCTGAGGCGACATTGTCCATACGTCTTCTGGCAGGCCGGCGGTGTTCCAGGATCTCTACCCATCATCATAATATCAATACATTGTCAAACGTTTTCATGGATAATGTATTGATGATATTAGGTGATATTTTCCGTATATGATATGAAAACATCTTTTCACCATGCATGGAAAGAAAAGATGAAAAAAGAAGGGGGACAAGTCCCAAGCCGAGGTGCTGTGGCACCATCCCGGAAAGGCCACTAGCAGTGTAGACTCACCCGTGTACAGTGGCCAGTTGGCCGTTTTTGGCGACCAAAGGTTGCAACGTAAAACGTTGCAACCCATGAGCGCACAGATCCAGGAATGTTCAGAGTTGGGATCTGTTAATTATATTTGCTTTGACCTTTCTTTCTAGCTGGTCACCTGAAGTTCTTGCCCAGTTTTTGAAGGCAGCCCCTTAAAGAGGGGAAACGCAGCAGGGCGCTCCTCTTTCCTTTTTGTCTCGCCTTGGTTTGCCAGAGATATTTTTTGCAATCACATGGCGAAGCTGGCTAAGAGCACCCCCGGTCCTCGAAGCTGGTACTTGCTTGGCGCTTGCCTATGCTCATCAAGTCATCAAACATGAATTCTCCAGAAAAACTTGGGCACAGCTTTCATTATCCACACATTCTGAGTGGTTCTTAATTTGGTTGGATGTCCACAAGTACTGAGACCGAGGACTGGGACATTTTGTGGGACCCTGATCCAAGATCAGTTTGCCCTGAGTGCCGGGTGGATCAACTTCCCTTTGCCGGTAGAGAGTTGCCGGTCGCCACAGTTAAATCGGAAGGAAAACCGGGATCCTTCCGTAGTGTGATGCAGTACTGGGTATTGTTATAAAATCATATGCAATCCACCCATGGTGGATCGAGTTGTGAATCCATGTTGATCGTGCCTTGTTGATGGTTGAAGGGGAGTCATTGCATTCCATTTGTTCATTGGTAGCATTGGAGGTTAGCTAGAGCAACCAAATTCTTCTCCCAGGCCCCCTGCAGGTAAGAATTGCAGTTGCCAAACTCAGCCGTTGAAGACTCGAAACATTACGAGAGAGAGAGAGAGAGCGCCATCTTCCAGTAAAATCCAGGAACATCATGGCAGGTGCCGCACCAACATTAAAAACATATCCAACCAGCATCGCAGACATATCCCTGGTAGGGTTGAAGGATGAACAGCAGACGATGTCATTCTCCAAAACGGCGCGGCACAAAGCTGTGCACGTAGGCAGACCAGATTTTGGTCCTGTTCAGTCGGAGAAAATCTGTAACAATCATCACAAAAACGAGGGAACTTAAAAACTCTGGTGTGCAATGATACAGCGAGTATCTCTACACACACACATGTATATGATTGCATATGTATATGTATATATTATCACACATAACCCATGCATATATCATATATCCAACAAACGAAACGCCTATCTTTCGCCAAGTTTTTTTTTGGGTGGCCGCCCATGGAGTGGTGCGCTTTGTGAGGTGATCCTGTTCGAACATGGGCTATTTTTTCCACACAGACTTGGCAATGTTGATAGGGAAAATGGTGCTTGTTCGATGATTTTTCAGTTTTTTTGGGGTGTTTTTCTTGTTTTCCTCTTTGGTTGGTTAAGATTCACATATGTCAGAGCCCTCTCGGGTCTTTTAAAGATGGGGAACCTTGAACATGCAAGTCTTACATTTAGATTTAGAAGATATAAGAAATAGATGCAAACTCACGTTTTCAAGGCCCCCCAAAAAACACGGAACATGTATCTTGCATTTGGATATGGTCCCCCCAAGCTAAAAACGGATAGTGATATGTTATTTTAATGTGTTTTGACTAGCATATTCTTCAGACGAAGCCATAGACCTTCATCACCATCTGAGGTGAGAGTCGGCAATGGAAATCGAGAGGGAATCCGGATCTACATCGGGTTATCAATAAAAACTGGTGGTATCCCCATAGCTAGGTTTAATTCTTAGTTTCCCAAAACTGGTTTAAGGATGTTTAAGGGAAGATTTGCAGGAGACCTCTATGTTTTATGGTAAACGTCACGGCTTCCTGTAGATTTTTCCCTTGAAGCCAATCCATTGATCTTGTTGTTAGTGTTAGTTAAATCCCTTGAATTAATGTCACTGTTCTTTGAATCCTCATCTTCATTGTCAAATACAACATTTGTTGGATTAAAAGCCTCATGACAGTCGGTTAAGTTGTCTATTTGGTTTCGCTTGTTACAAGCTGTGGCATGTGGAAACCATTGGAGCACCACTTGTTTCTCAAGGAAAATGACCTACAATTGGCGCTTAATTCACCAGCTAAGTCCCCTATGGCGCTGCTATTGGGGAATGACCTTCCCCAGGGTTTTCCGCAGGTGAGTGCCTTCGATGGATGGCGCCCACCCGGAGAATGCCATTCGGTGACCCACTGGGTAAAGATGGCTTCGGTGAGTGGAGGACATCATCAGTACAACGCAGTGATGTCCACATGTTATTTCAGGCGATCAGTTCACCCTTGGGCATCCCAAAGTCGGTTTCACCTTGGGATCCCAACGAGAATTCAGAACCGGTCAGTCGGTCAGTTGCCTCAAACTCAGCCGGAAAACCAACCGCCAAATCTTCGGCCTCCATCGGAGCAGACCAGCTCTGCAGGTACTTCGCGGTCATCGGAGCTGAAGCCAAAGCGAACGATGCCGACTCGGAGCAAGCCTTGGCCGATGGTGTCCCAAAATGTCCCAAAGATCATGGGAAAACCGCGAAAAGGGGTCCTGATGTTTCTTATTCACATTTTTTTTGGGAGTTATTGGGTGACAGAGTAATTGGACTGTAATTGGTCCTTAATCACCCGGAGAGAGAGAGACAGAGAGGGGTCGAATTGGGGAAGCCGCGGAAGCCCATAAGATCGCAACGCTCAGTTGGTTTTATTTTGTAATTATCAATCAATGCTTCAGGGGCCATTTATATAATCTGAGTTGGCAGTTTGGAATCCCAAGAAATGCCTATAAAGTAGAGTCTGGCTATGTACAGCATGATTAGCATGCACATATCATATCTCACAAAAGGTTCACATATTTTGTTACAAATATGTACATCTACATTTAAGCCTTTAAGCATACCAACACACTTGATCTTGGACCAGCCCAACCCCGCATTGCTCCCAGATTCGCTCCAAGGCGGATCCACTCCCGGTGTCCGTCCTGCAGAGATATCCTTTGGAGGATCACTCCGACTGCAGGCCGCTCCGGGGCTTCCGGTCGGATCGCTCCTGGTGAACATTGATAAACCTGGGATCAAGGGCCCGAATCAGCAGAATTCTGTCAGCCAAAGTCGGAATGCTCTATCAGCAGTTCAGTATAGGACCTATATAGGATGCCTGGATGGAATAGGAACATGAATGGATGGAATCTGGATGGAATTTGGATGGAATATGAATGGAATATGGATGGCATATGAATGAATTGATGTGTGCGAAGATCACGCTTAAAGCTGCTAGGTTTCCTCCAGCCCTCGCTTCCTTCTGTTTCCCTCGTGGAGGCGCGGAAAGGGTAGACCCTGGAGTCGCTGTGACACAGTGATACCATTGGCAAAAAGCACTAGTTGGCACCATAGGTTGGCTGATGACTGATGACTCCCGGTTTCAAGCAGTCAGTGCAGCAAGGTGCCCAATTGCTGTCGCAGGAGGAAGAGGTGTGGAAGGGACCTTCGGAACTGGCGCTTTTTATTAAAACGATGCCTTCACGGTGGCCGAGACATCATGACAAGTTGACCACCAACCATCCATTAACATCCATTATCCGTCAACCATCCATGAATCATCTCCATAAAGCAACCACAAATCACATCCATCAACCATCCATCAATTATCCATTAGCCATCCATTAGCCATCCATCGGTTTTCCATCAATCATCCATGAACCATCCATAAATTATCCATAAATTATCCAGCAAAATCATGGGTCAATGGATGATTTAGTCATCAACCATAGTATATATGGTGCAGCGTTGGCCACCCCCCTCCCCCCCCACCAATGGGTATGGGTGGACAGTATCGTCTGGTTCTTCTGGTCCCCCCCCCCCCCTGTGGCCTGTGGTGGTGGTATGGTTCTTCTGGTCCCCCCCCCCTGTGGCCTGTGGGTGGTATGGTTCCTCTAGTCCCCCCCCCCTGTGGCCTGTGGTGGTGGTATGGTTCTTCTGGTCCCCCCCCCTGTGGCCTGTGGTGTGGTGGTGGTATGTTGGTATGTTGGTATGTTGGTATGTTGGTATGTATGTATGTATGTAATGTAATGTAATGTAATGTAATGTAATGTAATGTAATGTAATGTAATGTAATGTATGTATGTATGTATGTACGTAGGTATGTAGGTAGGTAGGTATGTAGGTATGTATGTATGTATGTATATACACCACCACAGGGGCATCATACCCCCCCCCCCATCCCATGGGGGGGGTGGGAACACGGGACACGGGACCATATATATACAGTATATATCATTGGTCCATATTAGTATTATCCGTTAATCATTATAATAATATTATACATATCATTGAACCATAGTATTGGTACATTATCATTATGTCATTAATAACCATCAACTAACTAACCAACCAGCCAACTAACCATCAACCATCATCCATTAATCATTTAGTCATCATTGATCCATATATAGAACATTTTATAGTATTATCCATTAATAATCAACCATGATCATTAATATGATCATTAATATTAACCATTATAATCATAATAATATATATATAACTTTTATCCATTAACCATTAACCATTCACAATCCATTAACCATGATCCATTATCATTTATTATCCATTAACCATTAATAATTTTCACCAACATCAACCAAGCATCAACCAACCCACATGGCTCCAGGTCTCGGACGCCTTACACGGCTTCGTCCTCACCAACGAGGCGGGCGAGCGCGTCTTCGGAGCGGCCCGGAGACCTGGTTTTTACGTCGGCTGAGCCTCAAAAAAGCTAGGGATGAATGGTTAATGATTGGTTAATGGTTGGTTAATGGTTGGTTAATGGTTGATTGATGGATGGTAAAATTGGTAAATGGATAATTGATGATATTGATGATATTGATGATATTGATGGATGGTTAATCACTTGGACATTTTGGATTATTTCCATGCAAAAAGATGTGACTGGCAAATGGGTTGCTGCATTTGGAACCAAAACTGGTGCCGCCACTGCTAAAGTAATGTTTTGAACGTTATTGCAAGAGACACACTGGGGCCCTCAAACTATACACTTTAAAACTTGGTATCATAAATTACTTGAACATGTTCTTCAACTAAAAGTCCGAGATTTGCACATTTTGCGGATATCTTTGAAGGTGCTTGTAGCAAGACATAGCACTTCCCTGGAATCCCATAGCCCCCTGGACCTGCTCACGCCACTGAGGCTCTTCATATTTGGTGTCCGCATGGCTCCGGCTGTTGGATGCAGAAGGTGTAGCTGACAGCTGATCGGCTGAGTAGTCAGCATACATGGGGATTTATACAACATGACTTGGGGAAGGCACATTTCGCCAACCATTCTTTTAACAAAACAAATAGGGATTTACAAGCGTACAAACAGCACATATCAACAGAATAGGTTGGCTGCAGCAACCATCTGGCTTTAACCGGCAGATATGTGAATATAGACAATGGGGTGTCGATCTAGGAACTCATCAACAGAAAAGGGAATGTAGCCTAGGCCATTGAGGCTTGGAAGACTGAACGGGACAGAGATCGGATGGTACTGTGCCTGGGATGTAGCCTGTCCTTAACCTGGGAGTGAACTGGTGCAAATGAAGGTGCAGGATCAACATGGATAATTAATCATAAAGAAGTATCATGAAGTATCCAACCTTGATGGATTGATGGATATAACCTTTATCATCGTAGTATTGCTGGTATTGGTGCTTTTTTGCAGCTTGATTTACCCCGGTGGTCAGACCTGATCTCCCTCGTGCCAGGCCCTGGCGGTCGTCAGCACGCAGCCATTGTGGGGGGATTGGGGCCTCAGTGGCTTGATCACCATCGCTGCTAGCACCATCTAAAAGCAACACCGGTGTCAGAAAAAGAACGCCTATTTAATGTGAAATTTATGGCCATTTTCCATACCTATAAGTTGATATAAGGGTCATTTTTCATCATCTGTATTTGATGTATCTGTTTTGGGACTCGCTGAGGCCTTTCGCGCCTTCCTCTGCAGCTTGCGTGCCTCGAGCTGCCCGGAAAGGTGCGAACCACGAGAAGATCGGGATGGAGATTTTCGAGGAAACTGGGAGTTATATACGGTTATATATGGTTATATGACATGGAGTGGAGTGATATGAGGTATATGGGGTGATATGGGGTTATAGGATGTTATAGGTGAAAGATTAGAGGTTTATCATTCATCATTCATCATGGTTTATGGTGGTTTATCATCCTGTCAGCTCAAAGGCCAGGGGTTCTTTCGCCTTCTTTCGCCTGGGGATGACCCTTAAAATGATTTTCTTCAAGAATTCAGGGCTGGAAAATCGTGGAACATGGTGGAACCAGCAAAAATGGAGAGGCACTACAAAGCCAAAGATATATATATATATACAAGGATATACAAGGATGATAAGGATAAAAATATAGAATTCTTAGATCAAATCTTCCCATTTCTCCAATCAAATCCAAATCAAGCTGGGATTCTGGCCGAAGACCGTCAGGTTCATCGTCAACTTCGTGGCTGAGATGCCGTTGCCGCCCCCGGGCTTTGTGGTGACCGCTGGGGGTTCCAAGTGGCGCGGTGCAGCGCAGCCATCAGCACGTGGGGACCCCTATCAGATAGCTAAGTTGGTTGATAACATTTAACTATATTTAACTATCAATAACTAGGGTTAAGGTGATATATCATGATATATCATGATATATATATATATATAGTCAGATGGAGTTAGAAGCCGATTTATAACTAGGGGGTCCAGCTATGTAACAACCCTCGGGATGGTGATGGAGAGAGAGAATGAAAGAGAGAGAGAGAGAGAGAGCTACGTAATGTAGCTTTTGTTGGAGGATGTATACCTATTCAAAAATATGAGTTTCACATAGCTATGTTAAAGTACCACCATCTGGAAAACCAACATAGCCCTGGATGTTGGCCACGAAAATGATCGGTAAATCATCTTTCATCGAAATTGTCCACGGCTATGTTAAATTGCCAAAGGGTAGCAACATATTAATACAATAAACTACATATGATAGTATGTTCAAACCAATAGTTAAGTAAGATAGGAATAGATATTTATGATTCCTGGCGATAATTCACGACACGTATATCAACGGGTGGGTTGAGTTTTGGTTCGGATTCACAGCTAATCACGCCTCAGTGTGACCCATGTCTTTACATCCCACCTTGGATGTGGATCCCAGTTACAGTAGTAAGTTGTTTATGAAGGTGGTCAGTTCACCCACTAGTGTGTATACTGCAGTATACTGCAGTATACTGCATACGTACATTCACTAATTATTAATTATCGAAATACTCTCTCTTTCTCTCTCTCTGTGCATATATGTATATAATTATGTATATATATATATATATATACACTGCATACATAAATTACCGTTCATTATTGCAGTGAAACATAGGTCATAGTCATAGTCATTTTCCAGCTACTCAGCGCAACTTTCAGGTGGCCCTCCCCGGGTTTCCAGAACTTGCGATTCACCGCCCCGCGCCGCAGCTTGGATGAGTCGCAGCCACGGCTTGCTAATGTGGTAGTCGCCCAAACAATGGCGATTTACCCTCTGGTAATTTAACATAACTATATATTGAAAAAATAGCCATTTATAGTGAGTTTTGTCCATTAAACATGGTGATTTTCCAATATTTTCCATAGTTATTATGTCAGTTTACCAGAGGGTACCAGCAATAAAATCGTAGAATCACCAAGCATAAATGGGAATATATCATATACATTGGTATAAGATGAGATATTAGGGCAAACTTGGCCATGAACCCTGCGCAATGACTACACAGAATATTTGTTTTACCGTCTCCAACTGAAGGTTTATGGCAGCGGATTTACCACATTAACGACCTTGATGATATCATTATGATCCATTTAATAGTCATTGATATGGATTTATCCTTTTTTTTGTGCTTGGGTTACCAATATCAATAACCAATATCACAATGATAAACCAATTGGTTATCTTGGGTTGCCCCCTATTTGCCAATACGGAATCGCAAGTTACAAGATGTTACAAGTTTAGAGCTTCAGCTTCGCACTTTGGACTAGGGTGTTTGTTTCATGGGGAGTCCCCAAGTCACCATGGCTTTCGATACTAAGTCATGGTCATCAATGACGACTGGATGATTTGGGGTACCTCCGTGAATTCGGAAACCTTCATGTGTGCATGCAACATGGTTGTTTAAACTTTTTTCAAGAGTCAGAGAGTTTCCCCAGTTTTTTCTCACCTCAAATGACTCTTAAATGTTTTTTTTCACCCAATATTCTATGACATATTTTCTGCCAAAAATGGCCACTACTGGCACCAGTTCAACTGGGTCCAGTTCTTGGCAGCTCCAAGGAACCAACTGCCTTTGCTCGACCTGCCAGTGAAGTTGGAAGCATAGCAGGGCGTGGCAGCCTCGTTAGGTAAACGAACATAGCCTAGCCATTAGATGGCCCGTTGAAATAGATGATTTACCCATATATATATAACAGAATAATCCATATGTAACATGATAATCCATATATAACATGATAATCCATATATAACATGATATAATAACCTTCTGGTGATTTAACATAGCTATTGAAAATGGCCCATCTAGTTCGATGATTTACCAAATGTAATGTAAGATTGGGGATTTTCCATAGCTATCTTAGTTGCTAGTATCTCAAGGGATTTCACTTGACATTTTGGATGTCCAGATTTGCCACACTGGCAACAAATTATGAGGCAACCCCCAATCCTTTCAGTCTGGTCGGGTACGACTTCGATTTGCTTCTTTCTACCCCACAAAGAAGCAGAACAGTCAATCATGATTCTCAAAAACAGCATTTCGCACTCTTTTGGATTTACAACTCTACAACCCTATTTTCCAACAAGTTTCTCATCATGTTTTTGGATTCCACATGATCATTTTCCCAAATGTGTCCAGATTTTCCCAGATTTTTGTTGGATTTCCATAGGTTTTCCCATCACCTTGGGATCGGGGAAGCTGAGGCGAATGCTTCAGCAGCTGAAGCCTGAAACTGTGGTGTCGCTAGTGGAGGCGCCCATGTTTTTGGTGATCAAAAGAGGCATGGTCGATGCTTTTCCATGGGATCTTGGGGATTTTCTATAGGATTTTCGGGATTTGGGGATGAGAATTGATGGGATTTTCGATGGGATTTTTGGGATTTACATGAGATTTACATGGATTTATTGGGATATACTGGCATTAAGATGAGATTTTTGGGCGTTTACTGGATCCCACATTTAGCAGCTGGGGATTTTTGGCAAGGATTCTATGGGATTTGATGGGATCTTGGGAAAACCATGGAACATCTACATATGGAATGACTTCTTTCAGACTCTTGATGTGCCTTTGTCTGAAAATTGTGTAGTATAAACATCTACTGATGAATCATCATTTGGCCAAAAAAAACGTGTCAATTTTGGGTGTACGCCAAATTTTTCACGCACAGTCATGTTGATATTTCTTTCTTGGACTTATTTTTAAAAGTGAGATTGATGTGTTTTTTGGGTTTTGTCCAGGCATGGGGAGGTTCTCCCAGTTTTTCCAGTGTTTTTTTTATCGCTCTTTTAGCCACTTATTGAATGGGATGATCCTCCAAGAAGAGGAATTATATATTGGGATGACAAGATATAATTACAGAATTCCCCAGGTAGAGAATTCCAATGATCCCTGTTCTTGAATGGGATTATCATTGGAATTAGATATGATATATACCTGTTTTGCATTCTTGAAGGGGTATGAGCCTTTAGCATGAGATGCCGGGATCTGACATGATTTGACCAGCGATGACCCAACCTGAAATGGGAATCCCCCAAAAGCGCTTGAAATTTGGAACGGCCGTGGTAGGGAGTCTGGGGAGAAGCTTAAATTGTTACAGTCGCGCACATGAACAATTCAACCATATTCCACCAGTGACAAAAGGAGGGGAGATTGTTGCTTCCTATCCCATTAGTTGGCCGTAGACACAGACACACACACACACAAACACACACACACACATGGGTTCAGGTCTCGTTTGCTTTTTTTTTTGTATGTGATGCTTTGTCTCTGAAAATGGGATGCTGATCCCGAGGAGACCTTGATGTTTTGGGGATCAGGGAGACGTCCATTGGCTTTCAGGGATCAAACATGTGATCCCCTAGCCACCCCGAGCCAATTGAGGTAATAAATAACTCATTCGTACTGGGTAACTGGGGGCTCACAAGTTACAGGAAGGCTTCGGTTCGTTTAGGTTCGTTTCGGTTCGTGGAAACCTCAAATAGGGGCGGTTCGGTTCATCAGCAGGCCGGTTCGTGTCGGTTCGCGTGACATGGCGGTTCGGTTCGGTTCGGTTCGGTTCGTGTGACATGGCGGTTCGGTTCGGTTCGGTTCGTGTTGTGTAGTGTTGCAGGACGAGAGGTCTTTGACAGAATGGGTGTGGATGAATATCAAATAGTAATGTTATGTTGCAGCAGAGGGATTTGGTTTTTGAATGTTTGAAACTGGTGGTGGGGCCGAGTGTTTGCAGCATCTAAGTAAGCAGTGTCCAAAACCACGGTTTTTTGATGACTAAAGTGCTTATGCTGTTTCTTGGATTGGGGATAATGATTATCATCATCAACTATTAGAATTCGTACATCTAACCAGTGTACAGTGAAATTGACAGATCCATTGCCAACGGCATTTTCATTTTGCGAAAATCACTTTCAGCTGTCGAAATCCAGTCGTGGCCGGCAGAGGTTCAATCAGCAGCCAAATGCCATTTTCATATGGCGAAAGTCGTTTTCAGGCATCGAAATTGAGGCAGTGCCTGCAAAACCCAAACATTAGCCAAACATCATTTTCATTGTGCGAAAATCAGTTTCGGAGTTGTTTTGGCAAAAAGTGGAAAAAAGTTGTAGTAGCAGTAGTAGTAGTAGTAGTAGTAGTAGTAGTAGCAGGAGTAGTAGTAGTAGTAGTAGTAGGAGTAGTAGTAGTGGTAGTAGTAGTAGTAGCAGTAGCAGTAGCAGTAGCAGCAATATAAGTAGAATTAGTAATAGTAGTAGTAAAGAAGTAATACTAGTTCTAGTAAGACTACGAGTAAGAAAAATAGTAGCCTCTCGTAAGCGGTTCCCCAGCAGGTATGGGTCCCGACCGGGCTTTGCCGAACAGGAACGGGCAGAGAGGCTAGTAATAGAGGTAGATAATATACAACAGTAGGGGTGGTGATAGCAACAGTAATAGTAATAGTAGCAGCAGTAGTAGTCTAGCCGTACTAGGACGAATACTGTTAGATGTTTTCCTTAACTTGATTTTCACTGCGCGAAAATCATTTTCGGAGTTGTTTTGGCAAAAAGTGGAAAAAAGTAGTAGTAGTAGTAGTAGTAGCAGTAGTAGTAGTAGCAGTAGCAGTAGCAGTAGTAGCAGCAGTAGCAGTAGTAGCAGTAGCAGTAGTAGTAGCAGTAGTAGCAGTAGTAGCAGTAGCAGTAGCAGTAGCAGTAGCAGCAGCAGTAGCAGTAGCAGTAGCAGTAGCAGCAATATAAGTAGAATTAGTAATAATAGTAGTAAAGAAGTAATACTAGTTCTAGTAAGACTACGAGTAAGAAAAATAGTAGCCTCTCGTAAGCGGTTCCCCAGCAGGTATGGGTCCCGACCGGGCTTCGCCGGACAGGACCGGGCAGAGAGGCTAGTAATAGAGGTAGCAATATAATATACAACAGTAGGGGTGGTGATAGCAACAGTAATCAGTAATAGTAATAGTAGCAGCAGTAGTAGTCTAGCCGTACTAGGACGAATACTATGAGATGTTTTCCTTAACTTGATTTTCACTGCGCGAAAATCATTTTCGGAGTTGTTTTGGCAAAAAGTGGAAAAAAGTAGTAGTAGTAGTAGTAGTAGTAGTAGTAGTAGTAGTAGTAGTAGTAGTAGTAGTAGTAGTAGTAGTAGTAGTAGTAGTAGGAGTAGGAGTAGTAGCAGTAGTAGTAGTAGAAGGAGTAGTAGTAGTAGTAGTAGCAGCAGTAGTAGCAGTAGTAGTAGCAGTAGCAGTAGCAGTAGTAGCATTAGTAGTAGCAGTAGCAGTAGCAGTAGCAGTAGCAGTAGCAGCTACTGCAACAAGATAAGTAGAATTAGTAATAATAGTAGTAAAGAAGTAATACTAGTTCTAGTAAGACTACGAGGAAGAAAAATAGTAGCCTCTCGTAAGCGGTTCCCCAGCAGGTATGGGTCCCGACCGGGCTTTGCCGAACAGGAACGGGCAGAGAGGCTAGTAATAGAGGTAGTAACATAATATACAACAGTAGTGCTGGTGATAGCAACGGTAATAGTAATAGCAACAGTTCTTAGTAGCAGTAGTAGCAGTAGTTTCAGTAGTTTCAGTAGTAGCAGTAGTAGCAGTAGTAGCAGTAGTAGCAGCCAGCACTGATCATTTGCAATTCCTGCAGCACTTTGGCAGATTATGTTGCGCAGGAATCCTTTCATTACAGTTGATGCCTCTTTCCAATTTGATTTTCAATTCGCGAAAATCATTTTCGGAACCCCCGGAAGCTGACAAAATAATTTTTTTGAGAATGTGGAACCGGTTCGGTTCCATTCGGTTTGCGTAAAAATAATTGGCGGTTCGGTTCGTGCCCATTCGGTTTGCGTAAGAATAATTGGCGGTTCGGTTCGCGCCGGTTCTTAGCCTGCCAGTTCCTGAACGGTTCGGTTCCCGGTTCACGGTTCGTTTCCTAAGCCATACTGTTCAAGTTCTTTTCCCGTCACATGTTTTTCAGAATGCCTCGGATTCGTACCCTCTGTCCTTCTGAATGCCTGATGTGAGCTGATCCGCATGTTTGACGCAGTTGCTGCATTCCCAGGATAGTTTGAAGAGGAAACCTGCAGAGGACTCTTTTGTAAGACCAGACATTGTAAGACCAGTAAAACTTATGCTGTCCTTTGCCCTTAGATATCTTAGATCAATCAATCCATGAACGTGAGCTGAGAAAATGTTGATAAACATGTGTCCCCCTTCAGCAGACGGCACCAGGCGTTACTGGTGGAGCAGAGGATTGTTTTGCATTCCACTTGTTCTGGCCTGAGAGATGCCTGAGAGATGCCATTTAGACCTATTTAGTGTTTCTATGGGTTTCTGGTGGTTCCCTGAAGTTTGGGAAACACCCATGAGACTTCATGGGACAGCATGACTGTGGGCTCATGGTGGAGCTGCCCGTGGTGCGCCTTTTTTCATCGGAGACCGGCTCAAGATTCAATTAAAGCCTGAAGATGCCAAAAAAAACAGGTGGAAACACGGAAACTGTGAAGAACATGGAATATGGAATGAAAAAACAAATTCACATGCCCAATGTATGTTCAAAGGTTCAAGTGTCTACACCTAGGCCAGATGTCAGATGCTTGGGCAAACAGCTTCCACATGTTGGCAGAAGCAAGGCAAC